CACGGCCTTGTGCGTGGCGGCGGCTGCTGATACTTCCGCTGGCCATCCCACAGTTGGTGCGTCTGATGTGTCGGCGAAGCAGACAGACGTCGCTGCAAAGACGGAGGCCTTTGAGGCAGCAAGTAAAGTGGAGGTAGAAGCAATTTCTTTTAAAACTGCACTGAGTGAAGTGCAGACGGCACGTGAGGCGGCCAAGAAGGCAGCAGAGGCAGCAAAGGGTATTCTTACAGAAGGAACCAGGAAGGCAGCGGGGCTTGGGTACCAGGCCTCGCAGAAAGCGTTAGATGCTGTAACTGTGCTGAAGAAGCTTGTACCTACGGAATGTAGTGGGGAATCTTTAAAGTTTCCTGCAGAAAAGAAGGAGAAAGCTAAAGGAGCATTGGATCACGCTAAATTGGCTGTAGCGGATGCTACAAAGGCAGAGTCGGACTTTGAAGGCCTGCTTAATAAGGCGAAGACAGAGGAGCAGAAAGTGGAGGAAGCCATGGAGAAGGCTATACAAGCGGCGACGCGTATACCGGGAGAAGCGGTGAAACTTTTAGAAGTGATTCGGCGGGCCCAGGAAGAAGCGAGTAAAGCAATTGCTGTAGTAAAGAAGTACCTCACGGAAGTGGAAGAGGGAAACAAAGTAGTGAAAAATGTTCTTAAAGAAACGAATGCTATACTTAGTGCAGCAACAAAAGTGGATAAGGTGGCCAAGAGAGATCAATCGAACGCAGCAATTACTAAAGAAGAGTGCACTGAACTCAAACAATTGACGCTTGATGGGTTTGAGAGTGTTCCCCTGAGAGTGGAAACACAGAAAGGGACAAGAGGGAGCACTGCTGAGGCTCTCAGGGAAACTGAACGCCTTGAGGCCCTCATGAAGACAGCAATATTAAGTGCGGATAATGCAGTAGAGCTGGCGACAACTGAGAAATCAGCAGCTCAAGCAGCGTTGCAGGAAGCCACTCAAGAGCTGGAAGCCGCTAAGAAGAAACAGCAGGAGAGTGAGAAGCAGAAAGAGGGGATTCTGGAGAGCGAAGTGAGTGAAAGGGACGGAGAGAAAGGACTCAACCGTCCTCAGCAACCCGACACCACGGATGCCACTTCGAATCCTCCTGCTGGTGCGTCGTTGCCTACGGCCGATGGCACTGCGGATGGCGAGAAGCTTCTTGCTCAGCACACAGATGGCAGCGACGTCCCCGCGTGGGTGCGTGCGCCACTGATGCTACTGCTTCTTCTGATGGCCTGTGTGGCCGCGTGGTGAGACTTGTCTCTGTGTGTTCGTGGGACGATGATGCTCCCACCGTAATTGCGTTGAGTGCTGAGGACTGCACTCCTGATTGTTAAGATTCTTTTGTTTTCGTTTCATTGCTGCCCCGTTGTGGGCGTAACGCCGACCCACTTGCCCTCGACGACACGCATTGTGGGAAGGGGAGGCGTGGTTTCTTTTCTTTTCTTGGGCTTTGCTTTGCGCGCTGCTATGCGCCGCCCACTAACTGTTTCTCCTGCTGGGGGATTCTCTCTCTTTGTATGTGTGTGTGTGTGGTGCGTCCTTCGCTCCGTTCCTCCCGCCGTGTCTGCGCCCCTTACACCGGGACACACATAAAGGGATGTGAGCGCCAGCAGTACAATTGCGTCCACGAGCGCTGCTTCTGCCTCCTTGTTCCCTCTTTGTTTTGGGCCTTGTGGGTTGGACTCCAGCGGAGTGTGTGCATCTCCTACGCCGTCCAGTTCTCTTATATTCTAATGGGTTTCTTTTCATCATGGTTGATGCCGCCTGTGTTGTGCCTGCTGCTCCCTTCCGCTCCGTGTGTGTGTGTGTGTGTGTGTTGGGGCTGCCTGCTGTGCATCGTTTCTCTTTTCTCCTCCCTGCAGACCCCAGCTGCTCAAGCGATATTGAATGATGGCGACAGTGCGCCGTGTTGTGTGCGTGTTGACCGCTGCTCTGTGCTGCACGGCCTTGTGCGTGGCTGCGGAGCCCCAGCAGGAGCCGCTGGAGAAATACGACAGACGCGCAGAGCTCCACAGTGGTGGTGTGCCGTCCAGCAGGTATGCGGTGCTGTCAGCGGCGGTGCAAGTAAGCCCCGCCGGGAGTGGCGCAGTGAAGGCCGTGGAAGCGTCGATGAGTCCTCAGAATGCGAGGGCTGCTTTGCTTGATGCTGTGGGACTCTCAGGAGCCGCAAAGAATGCAGTAGAGTGTGTCAAAACGAAGGCTGCTGCAGCAAAGGTAGTAGCCGCGGAAGCTCTGTCTGCTGCTACGGAAGCCAATACGACAACGAGTGCTGCCTATGAAGCATTGAACAAGCTGAACGGGGAAGTGGAGGCTGCTGTAAAGAAGGAACCTCCGTCGAACTTAAGTCCGGACTTGCAGCAGAAAATTGCAGTTGCGGCTCAGAAAGCCAATGATGCAGTGGGCAAGACCAAAAAGGCGCATGAAACGTGTACTAACGCCGCCGGAGTTTCTTCCGAAGCAGAAACTACAGCCAAAACTGAGAGTGCAGCAGTGGCTATGATTGAAGAGGCGCTGCGAAAAGTTAAGGAGGCGGCAGAAACATTTCCAGACGCAAAGAAAAGAGTTTCGGAAGTTGGTAAGAGCGCAGCATCGGCTATTGATGACGCGAAAAAGGCTCATCAGCATGCTACTGCCGCACTCGAAAGAGCCAACGAAGCAAGGGATGCTGCAGGTGAAGCCCACAGAAACGCAAAGAGTGCACATGATTTCGCAAAGGCAGCAGAACAGCTCAGAGTAACTACAGACCGTAGAATTCTAAGTTCTCAAGAACAGGTCACGAAAGCACTGCCGGAGGCCGAAAAGGCAATGAAAAGCGCACAGGATGCGCTGACAAAGGCTGAGAAAGCACTGGAAGAAGCTACGAAAGCTTCTGAGCACGCTGACACAGTACATAAAATCGCTGTAGCCATCGAAGATGCTGTTCAGCAGGCAGAGATGGACGCAAGGAAGCCAGCGGTTTCTTCCCCAAACTCTGGTGGTAAGCCGGATTCGGTACTGCATACCAGAGTGGAAGAAAGACCTCAGCCAGACCCTTCTCAAGCTGGTGATGTACGCAACGGTGAACCTCCTGAACGGAACCCCGACAAGCACACTGCTGCTGCTGTTCCGTCACCCGCAGGCAAAAATGGTGGAGAGCCGAAGGTTGAAACGGGGAGCCCCATCGCATCTCCTCTTAAGCAATCCGAGGATCATCACGTGGCAGAAACCGAAAACAGCAAAATGGAGGGCTCTGTAAAGCCTTCAGGTACTGACGGCATGCCTGAGACGGAAGCTGGAATGGCCGACCCCCCTGCTGCACAACAAGCCACCAACTCGGGTGCTGAAGGTGACCAGGCTGTTGCTGACGTTGTGGCTGCGGGCAACCAACTGCGTGACGCTGGCAGTGCTGACGCCAGCAGCAGTCCTGCGTGGGTGCGTGCACCGTTATTCCTGCCCCTGCTGGCTGCACTTGCCTTTCTGGGTGTGTGCTGAGCAGAGAGTGCGTGGAAGGGGTGGCCACTCCCCTTTAATTGTTTTTTATCTGATAAATAAATACCCGCATGCTTTATTGCTTTTTTCTTAAACTTCATTGCTATTCAAATTTGCGAGACCTCGCATGTTTCCAATAAAAACCCTGACGATACTCACTGGGCTGTGTGTCGTCACTTCTGGGCGCTTTTTTTTCTTTCTTTGCTTGGGCATTGCTTTGCATACTGCTGTGCGCGGCACGCTAAATCATTGTTCTCTCTTTGCTTCTCTCGTGTGTGTATGTGCTGTGCCCCGCTGCACATGTTGGGCTGCTGCTGCTGCTTGGAGGTGGTCTGTGTGGTGCTGCTCTCCCCGCTGTGTGTGCGATTCTCTCTACCCCTCACGCCTCTCGCACAGGAAGAAGTTCAACGTGTGATGTTGACTACGACGATGATGCGGATGCGGCACGTGTCTTTTGTGTTGGTCCTCGCGCTGTGCTGGGCGTGCAGCAGGGCTGCTGCGGAGGACGGGAAGCCGGCAGCAGGATTGGGTCTGGGCACAGAAGCTCAGCTGACTGGAGCGATTGAAGTAGACGGTGGTGACAACGATGGTGATGGAAGTATACCGGATTCTTCTAACGAGAATCAAAATGAACACAGTGAAAAAAAGGACACCCCTAAGAATTGTGGTGCTCAGACCGGCGGTATTGCCGGTAGATGCACTGCAAACGGGACCCAAGGTAATGGCGCTTCAAGGCGTGAGGGCGAAAGCCCAAATGCACATGTTTCAAGCCAACGCCTTGACAAGGAGAAACAACACCTTGCTTCAGGCGATGGTGGAATGCCGAGAAAGGAGGAAGGACCTCGTGGACAAGAAAACTCAGATGCTCACGTAACTGGTGTGACTATTCCAACGGGTGGGGCAACACCCAATAAAGCCGCGTGCCATGGCAGTGATGGGAACCCGAACGCTAATGCCAATTGTCATACAACAGGATAATCGGGTGGTGAATGCGATCTACCTGAAAAGAAGGAGGATCCCCTTCCCGCCGAGGCCGCCGCTCACAACACTGACAGCACCGCTCCGAAGACTTCCGCTGCCAATGTGCCACCGAAAAAAGGATGTGGATGCGGGCGCAATGATTGCGGCGGTCAGTGCGGCACCGCTGCTTCTGGGAGCCATTGCCCACATTGCCATGTGAGAATTGTGGGATCAGCGGAAATATTACCACACCATGCAATTCCTACCTGTTCTCTATGCACCACGATATAAGTCAATTCTTTCTTTTTTTTGCTTTGACTGCTCCTGGCTTGCTGGGCACGTGATGATGCACCGGCCCTCAGCGGTATTTACTGTGCCGAATAGCGCCAAATGAAGGCTGTGTCTCTCTTCTTGTAATCTTTTCACTTGCTTCGCACACGAAGGTGCTCCTGCCGATGCATCCGCTTGAATTAAACTGCATTAATGGACGTTCTGGGCTTATTTTTCTGTTGATGGTGACGGCTGCTGTTGAGTGGAGTGGCCTCTGTGGTCATTGTGTGCTGCTGTGTGTGTGTGCGCACCCCTGCAGACCAGCCCACTTGGCTCCTAAACCGACACGTTCTTTCATCTTTTCATTTGGGGATGTGTGGGGTTTGTTTTTGTGTGGCTCGTTGTGCTCTGCCACTAATGTTTTGTTTGAGTGATGTGCTACTCCTCTAGTTGTCCGTTGAGTTGTGTGGTGCGCTGCTGCTCTCCCCTGCTGTGCTTGTGTACCCCGCTGTGCGTCCCTCCCCCTCTGTAGACCAGTGTGCCTCGGGCTGTGATGATGGCGGCGGTGGGGCGTCCCGCGTTGTTTGTGGTGGCCGTCGTGCTGTGCTGCGTGTGTGGCTGTGCAGCGACGCCTGCTGTGGGTGACAGAAAGCAGAGGAAGGAGGAAGTGGCGCTTGACCTGAAACAGGCGAAGGGGAAGGTGGACCAGACCAGGAATGCGTTGAAGGAGGCCAAGAGTAAAGTGGACGCGATCAACAGTGCAACGGAGCAATTCAAGGCTGCGGCGGGAAAGGCGTCAGAAGCGGCAGCTGCACTTGATCACAAAGTGAAGGCGGTGGTCAATATTGAGCAGAACAATATTGCTGCGGTGTCTGACTTGGCGAAAACCGCAATGAACACCGCTAAGGCGTCTCACGAATCAGTTGCTTCAATCGGAAATGAGGTTACGAAAGCAGTGGATGCAACGGCTACGGCAAGGAAATTGTTAGCGGAAGCGCAGGGGCTGGCTCGCAGTACAGCGGCCGAACCGGTTGAAGGTATCAGCACGGAAGCCAAGCTTGCACAGGACGCATTCGTACAATTATCAGAAATGCTGACGGCACTGACACAAACCCAGAATAGCGCTGGAGAAGCAAAAAAGGCTGCGACGACGAGTGACGATGCTTTAAAAGCAAGTAACAGCGCAAAGAAGGCGTACGATTATGTCAAAGATAAGAATCCCAGTACACCGTCAACTTTGACCGAAGATCTGAAGAAGGCTGTTGAAGAAGCTGTAAAATCCGCAAAGGCTGCAGTGGCAGACGCGGCGGCGGCTTCAAGTGCTGCCACCGAGGTATCTAAACACGCTGAAAAAGCCGTCAAGACCGCTGAATCACAGCTCGGGCAGATCGAAGCTGCGTTGAAGGAGCTGAAAACACCAGAAAAGGATCCTGAGGATTCAACGGAGGATCCTCAGACTCCGTCACCGCCACCTTCAGAACCGTCACACGACGAGGCACAGGGCCAGAGTCTCCAACAGGATCCACTGAGCACTACTTCCACTGGTGAGAAGCCTTCTGATGAACAAGACGCTGGCACTACGACGACCGATACAGAGAAGTCCTCATCAGTACCATCGGAACAGAAGACAGCCGCAAAACCCATGAAAAGCAATGCAAACAACCCCCTGCAGGGCATCCCTAGCGCGGACACCAGCGCCAGTCCTTCGTGGGTGCGTACACCGTTGCTGCTGGTGGTTGGTGTGCTGGGCCTCCTGGCTGTGTGCTGAACTCTGTGTGTGTGAACACGGAGAGGACGCATACACCCTGTGCTTGTGTGTGCTGCCCTGCAGATTGTTTACTAACATGTTTTGGTTTACTTTACTTTTCTTTTCATTTTCTTTTCTTTTTGTTTCTCCCGCGCCACGTAATCCCCCTTGGAGGATGCTCCCTGTGCTCTGTATCCAACGAGGACGGCGCATCTCTCTCACTGCTGTAATGGGCTTTGCTTGGCACATGACTGTGCGCCGCCCACATGAGAGGGCTTTCTCTGAAGTATTCTTATGAATGTCTCTCTCTTGTGTGTGTGCTGCGCCACGCTGCTCATGTTGGTCTGCTGCTGTTGGGAGGTGGTCTGTGTGGTGCTGCTCTCCCCGCTGTGGGTGCGAAACCCTGCAGGCCAACCCCCTTCGCTGCTGGACCCCTTATCTTTTCTTTTCATTGCTGCCCCGTTGTGGGCGTAACGCCGACCCACTTGCCCTCGACGACACGCACTGTGGGAAGGGGAGGCGTAGTTTCTTCTCTTTTCTTTGCTTGATCTTTGCTTTGCACGCTGCTGTGCGCCGCTCCCTAACTGTTTCTCCTGCTGGGGGATTCTCTTTTCTTTCTCTTTGTGTGTGTGCGGTGCGTCCTTCGCTCCGTCCCTCCCGCCGTGTCTGCGCCACTCGCACCGGGACACACGTAAAGGGACGTAAGCGCCAGCAGTACAATTGCGTCCACGTGCGCTGCTGCTGCCTCGCTGTTCCCTCTTTGTTTGGGGCCTTGTGGGTTTGGACTCCAGCGGAGTGTGTGCGCCTCTTCCGCCGTCCAGTTCTCTTTTCTCTTCTGGGTTTCTTTTCATCATGGTTGATGCCGCCTGTGTTGTGCCTGCTGCTCCCTTCCGCTCCGTGTGTGTGTGTGTGTGTTGGGGCTGCCTGTTGTGTATTGTCTCTCTTTTCTCCTCCATGCAGACCCCAGCTGCTCAAGCGATATTGAATGATGGCGACAGTGCGCCGCGTTGTGTG